TCCGTTGGCCATACCTCGCGATTAATCGATGAGTGAGTACTATGTTACGACCTATCTACTGGCTATGCTTACACCACCGCACTGTTTTAGCTTGTATGCCAGAACCTTTCTGAGGGTTATGCTTATACTCTTCAATTTTGAAGCAGTAGTGCCTTCATTTGCTCCTTTTAGTAGAATCTCAGAGTACTCTACACTATCCCACCCTTTGGTAATTCCATTGCAGTCAAGCTAGGATTGCGTGGGGCGGGGAGGGGGGGGGGGGTTCTACATCAAAAAAATAACAAACAACAAACAAACATGTATATATCAGTGGAGGGGGGGGGGGGGGGGGGGGGGGGGGGGGGGGGGGGGGGGGGGGGGGGGGGCGTTCATTTCATTATTGTGAGTTGGGTTATTTATATTTTTCTTTTTTCTCTTTTTTTTTTTTTATTTTTTTTTTTTTAGTCTTGGGGGGGGGGATGATTTATAATGTATTTTGCATTAGAATTATTTGTGATGAGGGTAGATTATTTCATTCACTCTATTATATGATAATGATGTATGAATATTAATGGTGTTAAGTTTTTCTTAGGGTCTTTTAAATTACCTCTTTGAACTCGCAATATTATCAAGGATGTAGTGAACATTGTTTTGAATTTTTGCCCAGGCATATACGTTGAGACGTTCGTAAGCACTTGATTATCTCTCCTGAGTCTCAGATCAGCAATTGTGTAGCCTAGTTGACCAGACTGTTTCTTTAACTGATTTTCTATTGAACCGCATTCATTTTTTATTGTTCGCTGTGTAGGGCCATCCTAATCCCTAGTATTTTCCTGGTGCAACAATGATGAAAACTGATCCGAGAAGACACCTGTGGTAATGACGCCTATGACTGACTAATGTTCTCAGAGACGGTTACAAAGTACAGGATGTATCAATTAGGCGGCGACTGAGAACAGGTGATCCGGTTGGAGTATTATTTATTGAGTGTAACTATTTAATCCTAGAATTTGCTTATACACATTTTGCATAGCCCGTCTATTCGCTCTGCTGAATCAACAGATAGATGAAGCGCACGCCCAACATCACGATGGTCACTCGCTCAATTGTGAGTTTTCAACTCCGGACAAATAGCTCAGGAAAATCTTCTAAGAACTGGTCCTGGGTAGGGAGGGCGGTAACAAGGATTCCTCACTAAGATGGGTTTGGTATAGGAAGCATCACTTCAAACCCATAGAATCTCCAGTTTCACTGTTATTTAAATCACAGTCGTTGGGTGACTGATAAGCTTAAGTCATTTCTAATGCAGGCAAATACTCCACCACCCTTTCTGTTCCTATCTAAGCGTTCTAATTGTAACCTCTATTTTGCCCTCGTCGTTCATCCCCGTATCATCCAACCAAGATTCAATATCAGTTATAACTGCCGCCCCTAATTTTGTTACACTACCAATCCTAATCTCTGCCAATTTAGGAAGACATGAATCTGCATTGACATGAAAAATTTGAAGCCTGTTTTTCATAAAACAATCCATAATCACAATATATGGCCATCATGGTCATTTATGTATTAAATTTAGGCAATAATGTCATCAACTGCTATAAAGTAACTGTGGCCAAAGTGCATTGTTTTACAACACAAAATGAATTCTGGCACCGTTGCTTATAAATGTACATACAACTCCTCATGCACCCACCCCTTACACATTTTTTTACATAAGGTGCCTTTTCTGCTTTTCATACAGGCGTACTTTAGTACAGTGGTATGCACCTTTTGTGGTGGTGTTTGAGATAATAATGGCTGTATTGTTCTCACATTGACCTAATCTGGTGGAAGACGAGGATATCAGTCCTCAGCCTAGAAGCAGGTGGTGAGGGCTGATTACCCTGGTTTTCCACCGTCTTGTGTAGAAATTTCAAATAGTTCTTAAAGATTAAGTCAATGTATTCACCAGCCAAAGGATTATCGAAAACGGTCTATCATGTACAGAGTAAGATAAAGTATATACTATATATTATATATATATAATATATATAGAGATATATATATATATATGATATATACTATATATAGACTATATATAATTTAATATATAAATATATATATATACTAATAGTATGTCACAGGACGCCCCGAATATGTAGCAAAAAAAAAAAACATAAATACTGGTCAAATTAGCAGCGAACCCATTTAAAATTAATACCTCTAAATTTTCTCTTATAACGTGGTTTAAAGGAGAGTATGGTTTTTTTTTCATTAATGTTAAAGTTAAAATTTTTATTTTAGTCGTGGGGGGGGGGGCGGTGCGAGAGAGGATTGGGGAGGGTGTGACAGTGTGGGATATACTGTTACGGGTGTGTCGAGGAGACAGTGATATTTATGAGGACAGATGGGGCAGAGGCAATTATTTTAGCCTAACCAACTAAATATATTTTATATTTGTTTACAATAATTTAATACTAAACAAACACAAATGAAACATATTTTTTTCGTTAGGTGCAAGAATGATTTTGGCGAAATTATTGCATAACACAAATTTTCGCTTGTCCATATGGTAACGGATGAGAGTTGCTATTTAAAGAAGCCAAGCGCAATTCTGCCTTTTCGCACGATATATATATATATATATATATATATATATATATATATATATATATATATAGTATATATATATATATTATAAAATACTATATATATATAATATATATATATATATTGTAATAAGATCACTGTAACAGATGATTTTCAATAATGCAAACAACCATTGTGAAAGAATAGAGAAATACCAAGCGCTTTCGTGACTACTTCAACAATATCAAGGAAATATGTCGTAATAATATGTAGTAGTCAGCGAAAGCGCTTGGTATTTCTCTATTCTTCACAATGATGTCTTTTGCATATATATGAGTGACATATATAAATATATACGTAAAAATACCACATGATTCTACGAAGTGCAAAATGTTCAAATATTGTACAATAAATGTTACCGATCGCTTTTCAAAAAAAATATATATATATATATATATCTATGCTTATGGTTCAGAGGCACTTATGTCCGGCAATCAAGAATGTAAGCCTTTCTGAAAATATGAATTCATTTTAGATATACTTTCTATAAATAAAACACCCCACCTATGATATACTCTTCAATAAATATATTAGCCAAGAAACAGACTTGTGGTCACGAGTTTGAAGTAGAGGATGTCAACACTGTTAGATAAATATGGGACACATGATGTAAGTGATTGACCTTTAAAATGTGGGACTCGTTTCGCTCCGGTCCATGAGACACACTTGTCAAACTCCTGGTAGAGATTCCGGAGAGTTTGACAAAACTCCTGGAGAGCTAACAAAACTTCTGGGAGCTCCTGATAGCTTGACAAAGCTCCTAGAGAGCGAAACGTTGCCTACAATAAATACTATCACATAAGTGTGACATCGGTGGTCTATTTATTCCAACATTTTGGTCGCGGTAATTCTACCAATAATACCACCTCTTCGTCTGCAAGATACACACAAACAAACAACAATGTTAAAGCCCAAAGAGGAGAGAGAGAGGAGAGAGATGTAGAGAGAAGAGAGGAGAGAGAGAGAGTAGAGAGAATGAAAGAAAGAGAAAGAGAGAATCAAAGATAACAAGATAAGTACACACACGCTACAAAGACAATAGCGGCCGCCAGCGGTAGCAGCACAACGAATGGTAAAAGATTTTTCCGCCTCTTGGAAAAATTGGCAGTAGTGTATTGCGCAATCGCCGTTCTTTCCCCTTCCGGGTTTCTACTCATCCTCTCTCTCTCGTCTTTTGCTCGTCTCTCTCTCTCTCATCTCACTCGTCTCTCTACTCTCTCTCTCCTCTCACTGTACACCAACCTGCAGACAGGAAATGGGAATAACCCAATAAGGCACAACATTCACAATATAAAGGAGATGAAGGAGTGAAGCAGCCATATAGAGAGGACAGTTGCGCTCTGGAGGGGAGAGAGGGCCGGTGGAAGAGAGGGAGGGAAGAGATAGGAGATGGGAGAAGAGCATTGTGAAGCAGGAGAGTGAGGGAGAGTGAATAAGGGATAATAGGACATAAAAAAAAGGGGTGATGATGACTGGAAGGAGAGGGAGGGGAGAGAAGAGAAAATGATGGTAGGGGGAGAGGGGTAGAAGAGTCAATGTACGGAATCTATCCCGGCTCCATGGTGGCAAATCTGTGAATGTACAGATATGTACTACTTATGATACTGAGATGTACATCTGCTAGCCTATGTAACATCTTGTAAGACACCCTATATGAGTGTGCATATACACATCTGTAAGTATATTACAGTAAATGCACATTTTTCAGAGAATATACATAATATATCACTCCTCGGGTATACAGAGTATACCTCATGCTGAATATAACAATACACATATCCTTGGTGAATAAAATGTGCAAAAACACAATTCCCCCTGATGAATATATACGGAAATACACACAGTTCGCCGCGCAGTACAAGATGATCCAAAGAGCATCTAACACTATAATTTTTTGCTACTACTACTACTACATTACTACTACTGCTGCTATTACTACAACAACAAGCTTACTACTACTACCCCACTACTACTACTCCTACTATCTTACTATACACTACAACTAATACTACCATTACTACTACTAGTACTACTACCGACCAACTCACTACTAACTACTACTACTACTATTACTACTGCTACTTCAATGCTGCAACTACTACAACAACTTACTACACTAATACCACTCACTCTTAGTATTAGGACTGAAGAAGTCACACTGGGCGAAACGTTTCCTCTAACATATATCCTGAACTGTACATAAGTTTCTTGTTCCACATCTTGTCGGTATCACCAGTCCGTTTTTCAATTCAAACAATCTTCTAACGCTGTTCAAGCATTATTTATTTCTAACACTGTTCAGACACTATACATTGTATCTAACGCTGTTCAATCATTATCCAACTCGTTCCTAAAGCGCTGTTGTTTTCTGTTTCTTCCATCCCCGGCAGCTGTCGTACGCAGACACCCACCCCATGTTCTCAGCCATCAAGTACCCGAACTTCTTCAGGATGGCCCCGTCTGACAAGGAGTTCAACCACCCTCGCCTGCAGCTGCTACAGCGGTTCAATTGGACTAGGGTCGGCACCCTCTTCCAGAACGAGCCCAGGACACGCCTTGTTGAGAGTTATGCATACTCCTTTACAATGGTCCTAAAACGCATTGGTCATCAAGCGTGTTCTGACGCATCAAGCGTATGTTTTTTTTTGTGAGATTTTTTTTGTGCGTGTGATTCTTTTTATTGTGTGACTCCTACTACGTATTTTCCATACCGCAAAAAAAATGCACGTTGTGCCTGCTCCTGCGGATGCTCCCTACGCTCGATCCTTAAGCATTATGAAGACTCATGCAGCTATCTAATTATGCTCCCGTATATATGCATCTAATTTGCTCTGTACCACATGCCCCATTATACAAGCCGTTTGCGTGTAATCATTAAATTAACTCTCATCATATGAATAAGCTGCACGTAACCACCAAGAGTGACCCGAAAAGAAGAAGCACTTTCCACCTTTAATCAACCGTTTATCCTCACTGTCTTGCCAAAGGGCGTGCCTACACTATAGATTATGAAAACTGTAACATGTCAAAGCAACGCACCAACCCCTTTTCCAGAGCGTGCAACACCTGACTTTTCCCACCTCCAGGACTCAAGTCCGGCCTGCCGGTTTCCACGGTACAACACAACGATTGATGTTCCCTCTCGGCGCAATCAACCGAGTAACATGGAATGTTACATTTGTTACACACTGCCAACAGCAAGCTCCAGTCCTAAAATACCACTTTGTTCCATTCGCTCCTATCTAACACGCTCACGCCATCTTGTTGAAGTCCAAGGCCCTTCGCACAACAAAACCTGCCTTTAAAACCTCCCCCCCTCACAACCTTTTCATATAGGCCGACCCTTACCAAACTCCTTCTAACTATCAGATAAATATACGCACTCAGTTCATTCACATTCCGATTCCATTCTCTCTAAATGTCCGAAACCACCTCAACGAACCAACTTCCTCAGGCCTCTGGATACATACTTCTTAGTAAGCCCGCACCTCTCCTAATTTCCAAACTACGAATTTTCTGCATTACAATCAAACCGCACATTACCACTTAGACACGACCATATTCAACTTCACTCACCCTCCACCTTCTTGGCAGAATTTCACACACCTTTACGTCACAATTCATGAATCAAAACCGGCCGTATCCCACCGCGTCAGGGTGACTCTAAAAAGAAAAAGAAAGATTTGTTTTAAATTCAGTAATGTATACGGAGGAGAAAGGTTACTAGCCCCTTGCTCCGCATTTTGAAATCGCCTACTTACGACACGCATGGCTTAAGGAGGAACGAATTCTTTTCCAATTCCCATTGAGAATAAGAGGAAATAAAGATGATAAGAACTATTAAGAAAATAGAAGACACCCGGATAGGAAATGAATATATATAACATATACTCTATATATATACTAATATATATAATATATCCTCATATATATATATATGTGTGTAAATTTAATGTCGTGCCGAATAGGCAGAACTTGCGATCATTTGGTTAAATAGCAACACTCATCTTGCCATATAGGACAAGTGAAAACGTGTGTAAGCAATAAATTTCGCCTAAATCATTCTGAACTAACGAAAAACATATATTTTCCTGTGTTTTGTTTAGTATTACAAATAGGTGTAAACAAATCTAAAATATATTAGATTAGGGTTAGGCTACACTAATTGTTCTTGTTATAATAGAGGTTAGGTAAGTATTTCTTAGATTCTTTGGAGGAAAATTAAAAAATTTTGCATAACATATAATGAAAAAATTATATCTTTAAACGTATAAGAGAAAAGTTTCAAGAAGGACTTAATTTTAAATGAGTTTCTTTAGCCAATACCAGATTTACATATTCGGACACGACACACAAACACACATAATAAATATTATATATATATATATATATATATAAATAATATGACTAAATATATATATATATATATAATGTCGTGTGTGTGTGGTGAGTCAATCAGACCTTCTGTACCTAAAACAGGTGAATGTGTTAATATTCAACCATTCTATCCAGCCAGCACAGTTTTTGTGCCACACACCTAACAGTCCACACTGCTAACAATAGCACCACACCATCAATTAACTTCCCTTCGAAAAAAAAAGATTTGCAACAGTCGAAAACAAACGTCCAAACAGAAAAGAAAATAAAGCGATTGTTTTTGCACACAAGCACACACACACTACACACACGCAGGATGTGAATGTCCAGTGAGGGTGTCGTGGTGTGTGTGTCGCAATCGCTTGTTGTGAATGTTTTGCGTTTATCCGTTCGTGCCAGCATACACATCTTTGAAGACGTTTTATTAGGACAAGACCAGATGAACATCGGGGTAACAAACCGTAGGGAAGGTCAGATTTAACATTGTCCTGTGGGAGGACAGTGAATGAGTGCTGTGCGTTGCCTGTGGGGGACAATTGATGTGTATCTAGTATATATTTATATTATATAATATATTATATATATAATAATAAGTATATATATATATATACTATATCTATATATGTAAAATATATATATATATATATATATAAAAAATGTACTATATATATTATATATAAATAACTATATATTAGGTATATATAGAATATATATATATATATATAATAAGTATATAAATATACATTATATATTATATAGAAGAATATAGTAACTATATATATATATAGTATATAAATTAACAGTGCTGGTTAAAATTAGTACATACATACATAAATGCAAACGTATTTCAAATACACATATCCATTCCACGAGGAAAGGAAAATCTCTCTCTCACTCTCCTCGTCTCTCTCTCTGCTCATCTCATCTCTCTCTCTCTCTGGAAAGTTTGGCAAATGTATTCTCTTCCAGAATCTTTGAAATATCCCTCGTAGCAAGATTTGAGCAATAACTTAGAAGAGACTATTACACATTTCCTCACCGGCTGACATGAGATAAGCTTAGGAAAATATAAAATGAAGATGATGAAGGGGATGGGGGAAAGAATGAGGGGGGCATGAGGATAGAGAGAGGAGCAGGGGGTGGGAAGATGTATGATCTTGTAATGGCTTTCCAGAAATATTCCTCGACAATTCCCCGTGAGTTATTTGCCAGCTGATTTTATATATGAAAATAAAATTATTTTGAGAATTAGTCTGGAAACAGTGGGTGATGGATGATGATGATGATCGATTGATGATGATGATATTATGATGATGATGAAGATGATGATGATGTAGATGATGATGATGAAGATGATGAAATGGATGATGATGAAGATAATGATGATGATGAATGATGATACGAGAGAGAGAGAGAAGGGGGGGGGGCGGGTATTAAGTGTTTTTAGAGAGATTTGAAGTATTTATTTCCCCCAAAAATTCTACCATTTTCTAAGGAACTTTCCATTCATTCTCTAAAGAAAACTTTCCTCATTCCTACGCCACTTACCTTCCTTCTCTCATCGCCACTTTCGCCTCTCTACGACCATTTTGGCAAAGTTCTACTTCTTTACGATACTTTCTTTTTCTGCCCTCCCCCTTCTTTTTACCGTACTTGTCTACCTCACGCTATTTTTTATTATGGCCTTCCAGGACACATTTTCCTCTCTTACCCCTTTCTACATCAGGCCCCACCCCTTCTCAGATCAGACCTCTGCAGTTACTGTCCTCCGCATCGCCCTTCTTCCACCCTTTCCATTTCCCCACTTTTACTCCTCAACATTCTCTAGTTACAACTCCATTCCCTGAATTCCACTAGTCGCCGATAAGTTATAAGACAACAAACAACGTCAAAACCTTAAAAAAAATACTTTCTCATTTTATGCTACAATATTAGAGCACAAATCTATAAATATAGAATCTCCAGAGATATACAGAATAACTTACGCGCGAGTCCCCTCTAGTATCTAGCCAGTTTCTGGTTTAATAACGATTGCCTAGAATATTATCCAAGTCCAGTTAACCTGTAAAAATAGAGCCTCTACTACAGCAACTTTGGGGGATTACAAATGGATGAATGTAAATCAGTAAATTAAGGTTGAGATCTTTAATAACAAATGTTGTCTAATGGTAATATTGGCAATTAATATTGCTTGAATATTGTGACGAGGAGATAAGTTCTACACATATCTTGTAGTATATTACGTTTATATCTGTAAATACTGTAACAGTACTATTAACAAATGGATCTATAAGAACTTCAGATAAACTGTACTCTTGAATTTTCTCTTAATATGTGCTCTCAGGTACGTTGCTATGAGATACATCTATAAATATATTAAAAATATAAGTAAGCATGTGTGTGTGTGTGTGTGTTGTGTGTGTGTGGTGTGTGTGTGTGTGTGTGTGTGTTTGTGTGTGTGTGTGAGTGTTTGTGAAGTGTGTGTGTGTGTGTGTGTTTTCTCGGTAAACTCGGTATGACTCAGTAAGACCACTATAAATGACACAGACACCGAAGTCCCTAAGCTAACTACTCACGTAGCTGGTGCTGTCAATAACTGTATCTGGTGCTGTAAATAACTGTAGCTGGTGCTGTCAATAACTGTAGCTGGTGCTGTCAATAACTGTAGCTGGTGCTGTCAATAACTGTAGCTGGTGCTGTCAATAACTGTAGCTGGTGCTGTCAATAACTGTAGCTGGTGCTGTCAATAACTGTAGCTGGTGCTGTCAATAACTGTAGCTGGTGCTGTCAATAACTGTAGCTGGTGCTGTCAATAACTGTAGCTGGTGCTGTCAATAACTCTAGATCTACCCTGGTGCCTGTCAATAACTGCTTAGATGGTGACGAGTCCAAATACTGTACCTATACCTGGTGATTCTGTCAATAACAGTATCTGGTGCTGTAAATAACTGTATAGAGCTGGTGCTGTCAATACTGTATGATGGTGACTCGTCAATAACTAGTAGCTGGTGCTGTCAGATATACTGTATCTGTGCTGAGTAAATAACAGTAGCTGGTGCTGTCAATAACTGTAAGCTAGGTGCTGTCAATAACTGTAGCTGGTGCTGACATAAACTGCAGTCTCGGTGACCTGTCATATAACTGTAGCTGGTGCTGTTCAATAACTGTACTGGTTGCCACA